AGTTCATGTTTAACCTCAAAGGAACATTATTTGAAATTATAAATATCTCTTTGAACGGTAGATTAAAATGTTTTCTTTAAAACATTATTAGAACTTGTAGGTAATATTAGCCAACGTTGTGGAAACGTTCCCTGTTTGCTGCAAAGACCCTGTTGCTCTTGACGCCGCAGCTGTTTGTGTGTGTGAATGACAAACACACTATAAAAGCACTTTGTGGAGCTTCGCTGAGGTTAAAAGCTGCTATATATGCGCCGACCATATATATCGATCACTGAATTCCTTAATGAACGTGTGAGTTCATTTCTGCATCCATGCCGTCCTTCATGTTTAAAAAGCAGGGGTGCTTCGGGTGCAGGGCCATTCATTAACACGATGAGTCTGAGGTAATGTTGCGTTAAATCTTCTACATGTAGGGGATTTACTTCAATGTATCATTCTCAAATTAATTTTGACAGCTCGGTCTAATGGCAGCCACGGCATCAGTGTTGGTTTATGTTCCGCTCTCTGCTTCCAGAGACAATTTGGCACAAAAACCAGTGAGACAGACAAAAGACAGAACCTCAATCAAAAACAGAAGCAGAGGGCGAGATAGCTTTGACTTCACGGTACACGGAGAGGCAGATGGGAATACAAAACACTGACCCCGTAATTGTCATATTTTTGATAGCAATCTTCCTTACAACTCTTATCTCTGTGTTTTTCTGTGGGACTATTTTTAATACATAGTAACTTCCACTATTGAGAGCACTTCTTGAAGAAAGCATCGGGGAGACAACGACAACAGAAGGCTGCAGCTAGTCTTTCAAGATGATGTAAAGGACCTCAAGAGGGAAAAAACACAGGTGCAGGAGAGATTTTCATTCAGAAAGCTTGTCTTTTTTTTTCTTCTTCTTTTTTTTAAACTGCCACGTTATTTTAAAAACAACAGTCTTTGTCATCAGCGTCTCTCTCAGGTAAAGACAGAATAACAGAGTTTTAATATCTAAAAATGCATGTAACAGAAAAACGAAGTGGCACTCTGCAGAACGCTCCACTCCCCTCACTGGGTAGCATTAATTAATGGGCTAATCTGTCTGGTTTCTGTATGAAACAGAAGATTACCACTTTTCATTGAACATGACAGATAAAAAGTTGTTTCAAGCTTTACAGTGATAGCTGCATTAACAGTTCAGTTATAATCTGATTTTGGAGAGCTGAATTTAACTAATAAAGATTATCCCACAACACAGTTCCTTTGACTGAGGCAGCATTTATGTTTAATAATAATCACAATTAGAGCACAATCCAATTCATGTTAAATGAGGATGAAGCTTTTTGGGGGATTTTTAAACAATGAAACTTCATTCATTCATTCATTCATTCATTCATTCATTCATTCATTCATTCATTGAGTAGCACAAACCTACACTGTTTGGGTCTTTCTCAACTTTCAAGACATGATGTTTGCTACTGAAAAAAAAAAGCTCACAACTCCTGTTCAATAACACCAGCAGGAGTGTGTTCTAATAAAACCTCAGAGGAAAGCCACTAAAGGAAACCAAAAAGAGTTTTACCCCTTGAAATGTCCAGTTTGAATGGAAACGTTTTCTTTTGTTCAAATAATGGATTTGGAATTCTTTTTTCAGACATCAGCCTGAAATTTAGGCAACATATTTGATCAGGACGTCTTTGATCAACAAGTTAGCGGTGATGTCTTTCTCCCTGCATTTGGGATTATTTTACCATCTGAGGAAACAATTCTCTATTATATTCACTTTGTGATATTTCTTTAGCTTCCAAAGAGTTTATCCTTTCAAAGAAGTGATTTGAGACCTGAAAACTAAATGGCAGACATTACAACATTAACATCAAATGTAAGATAAGAAACAATTGTACAGACTTTTACTATTCAACTGAATTTCTAATATGATACGTATTTGTGAAGGTTGTGTGTTATTTCTCACTTATGACTTTCCTTTCTCCCAAATGTCATGCACAAATGTCCTAGTGTCAGCAAATACTTTCATATTTAGGTTACTGCAAACAGGAATAATTGTTCATCTGTGCTTTTGTGGATATGAAATGAAGTTGCACCAACATAGAAACAAGTAAACAGAAAACATCCGATATCTGTAAGAGAATGCAGCACAGAGCATTTTTGTCTCATGTGTTACTATTTGTAACCTTATTGTTTCCCCTCTTCCTCTATTTCTCTGCAGCGTCTCAAGGACAAACTGGATCAGAGGCGAACAAGTAGAAAAGGTAAGGATGAAAACACTGTTATTTTGTGTGCGCTGTACATTTGGGTGCAGTGTGTGTGTGTGTGTGTGTGTGTGTGTGTGTGTGTGTGTGTGTGTCCATTTGTGTGAGCTGGAGAGAGACCAACAGGACAGATCTGGGACACTCAGCAGCAGAAACCTAAAACCAGGGCAGCTAGTGATCCACTGAGAAACATTTCCATATGTGACAGGTTGTCCGCCCTTAATTAAGCTCTCAGATCTTCTCCATATTTTATCATAATAATTCGTATTCATCCCCCACTGTGGCGATGGACATGATCGTCTCCTCTGGGGGAGAAAACGTGGATGGGTGCTTCTACTGCGATGGGCAGCGAGGAGACGGGAAACAGGATGACTCAGGGGAGCTGAAGTAATGCATTTAAAGCTACTGCATTAAACCTCGCAGCAGTGATTTTCTACCTTATTTCCATGTATTAGTCACAGCCATGACACGTCTACAATCCCCACAACACTCTGTACATTCTGCTGTAAAATCGACTGGTATTCTAATACTAAATTTATGCGCAGTAGAAAGAGTTCAGGCTATTCACCAGTCAGTAGTACCAGTATCTATGGCGGTGAGCACTCGTAGCCGGGACATAAAATATGTGGCAATGACTTTTTAACTCGACTGTTTTTCTTGAATCCTACTGCAGACGGCGGCGCAGATGAATCACTCGCAAGAGCTTGAAATCTCTTTAAAGTACTAACAGGGACCAGAGGACTGGTGGCCTCCATCGTTTATGCTAACATACGATGTGTGTTCACGTCATATAGGATGGAAGGGAAAGACTTCTTTGTTAAACAACTGTTTATGTATTGACAGTATGAAACCACATCCATTCACCCTCTGAACCCAAAGCAGTTTGTGGACAATTGGAACTCCTGTCACATTTTTATTTACTGTCAGCTCACATTTAATTCCAAACATAACGTCCTGCACCTCAAAAGAAACAGCACAACCCTGGCAAGATGTAGAGGGAACTCAAAAATATCTTCTGTGTACTATAATACAGTTATAATGCCATACAGCAGAAAAAAAAAAGTTGAATCTTTCACTACTTATTTTACAAAAATTACAACATTTTTCCAAGTGCCTACAGGTGTTACCAATACAACAACAACAAAAAAACCTGGTGGGTACTACACATATTTTACTACTTACAGTTGGAATTTGTTTCTAAACTTGTCTCCTAAATGCTCTGTGTAAACACAGCCTGCAGTTCAGCCGAAAAGTCCTTAAATTTTATCATGTGACTGTTGTTTGCAGCTGAGCCACTAAAGTCTTCACATTAACCCTATTCAGGACTTTGGGGGTCTTTAGGACCCCAGGAAATTTGGTTTAGGTGACAGGTATTGTTTTTTATTTTTGAAGATTTTTTTATATAGATATAAAAAGAGGGACATTTGTCATGCATTTGGAACCAAACATACGTCAACTCATCAGAAAATGTATTTAACATAGAATAAAAGTCTATAATGAATACCAACAAATATTTTGCTCGTATTCTTTCTTGGGGTCCAATGGACCCTGAAAGACCTTCTACGTACGGCAACATGAAAGTCCTGAATAGAGTTAATGCTGGAAAGCGCAGAATTTTTTAGCTTTTCACAGTTCAATAGGTTCTGTCAGATTTTTAGATGAAATGTGTAGAATAATGTAATTTTGATGAAGTGTCACAGTGAATTTTTTTCTGTAGAACTTCCCATCACAGATGAGTAGTTCAAGGACCATCGGAAAGTTTGTTTTTACTGTTTCTGGCTCTGATAAATAGTGTAATTTTGTTGATTTTTTTTTAAAAGCTGGCACATCTTTCAAACCCACTGGTGGGTTTTGGGTTTCACTGGGTTAAATATGGCTTTGATCACATTTAATATTAGTCACTGGCTGCCTGTTCAGTTACTGCACTGAGCGTTCATTGGAGTTTTCCAGCCTATGTTATGGCTTGTATGTTGACATAGACACTATTTACAGCTCAGACTTTGGTCATGATAATTTAATGTAGCATGAACATAGAGATTCACCTTGTAGCACCTTAAATGTGGTGCATACTACATAGATTCCATTTGATATATTCTTAGTCTCTGTTCATTTGAATAATGCAAAAGTTTGTTGTTTAAACAGACAGAACAGAGTGTAGTTTAATGTTTCTTTGACTGTAAGCCTGAGGTTATAAAGGGAGGGGCTGTTCTCTAATTTAACTGTCATGCTGTTTCGGTTGTTAAATTTTTAGACCAACTTTTTTATTAGCTTTTCACATCACTCACAGAATATCCCAGCTGGGTGTTTACACAGCTGACATATGAATGCTAAATAAGATCAACGTTATGAAAGATCCCCCTCACACATCTGTCAGGACTCTGCTTAGGACAATAATTTGTGTCTGATATGTTTTTTTCCCCCATAAAAGTTCAAGATAAAATGTAAAATTACATTCACTCCTTCCCCTTCTCAAATTATGAATATGCTAGTTGTTTCCTACTTCATTGTATATTGTGTACCTGTGTTACTGAAAGTGAGAAAATGTAAAAACTTTCAGGTGTCACATTCATCATTCTGCACAATGAAACCCAAACATCCAAGTGAATTAGGAAGCAGCACAAATGGAAGGGCACTTTATGAAATCTAATTATGTATTGTTAGACTTTCTGTGTCATTGAGGAGCCTGACACCAAAGCAGTAAAAACAGCATTCATGCATAGACAATAAAAATGTAACTGGCAGGCAAACACTGGACTCACCCTCCTTTGATATAATCCAGGAAGGTGTGCTCTTGCTCCACAATGAATGATAACAAGGACACCTGCAGGGGAAAAAAATAAAAAAGAGGTCCCGACTGATTAACTCATGCTTGGTAATTAGGGAAAATAAAATATACCAATCTATGCATTAACACTGACCTCTGCGCCAACCGCCCACAAAATGACTTATCCGCGCAGAGCCGTTCTGACGCCTGAGCAGCTTATTAGTATTACAATCACCGAACATGAGTGCGACTGCTGATCAGCATGATGGATAACTAGTCACAGGCTTTAATTACAGCGTCGCAGCATACAGCAGGAGCAGGAGCAAAGCAGTGGCTCATTTCTAAACATCCATCGCTCCCCCTTTTCACTTAAAAGACACCGAAATGAGCCCCTTTGTGCGTTTCATTGGATGTTCACCCCATCTGAGGTCATGAGAATGTTTTTCCATCAACTAAAGTTCACTGTCTGGATCACAGGCTCTGAGACTGCGGATTGGAACAAAAACATTGAACAGAGCTGAACTGCCTCGTGCAATCCACTTAGTGGAAAGTTTCTGATGAACGGAAAAGCAGTGTGAGTGCAGCAGGAGATTTGCTCTTATCTCAGATCTCAGACTCACCGTCCCAGAGTTGATGTATCTCTTTTTCTTTATTTTCTTCTTGGCATTCACCACCTGGTATGAAGGCAGAATGGAAAACGAAGGATAATGATAATGTAAACTTGTAGCACAATTCTCTTTATCCACCCCTGGGCAAGTAATAAAAACATCTTTGTCCTCCTACTCCATGTCTGTAAGGGTAATGGAGCACAGGGAGGGAATCCAATAACTGCAGTAGGTGAGAATGAGATACCATTGATCATGCCTTGCAGCAAGGCTCAGATTATTCAGAGTGATTTTTAGTAAACACCTGCACTGTACTGTGCATTTTACATTAGCAGCCTTGGGGACAGTTCAACACATGTCCCATATCTCACCCCAGTAACAAACACAATAAAAAACACATACAGACTGAATTACATTGTGTGCAAATTCACAGGTGTACGAGAAAGTGCAGCGTTGGCAGGCACACGCAACAAAAATACACAATACAAGGGTGATAAGCATGGCAAGCTAAGTGATTACAGCATTCCCTGCTCTAAATGAAAGCTAAGTAACGCTTGTAGCCAAAAACATGTTTGCAACCATGAGCGAGGTCAGATGTGTCTACTGCTCATTCTACAGGTCTGCACACAAACAAAGCACAAGCCTGGAGGAAGCTGAGCAGCGTAAGAAAAAAGTAACCCACTCTCCTCCTTTCTTCTCTCTCCTCTGATCTGAGGCTGGTTTCTAAAGCTTCTCCTCAACTTGTCCAACAAAAATGATGCCTCATAGCAGTGTGACCATCACTCATTCACTGCTGAATTCCTATTATGTCACAAAGACATCGCATTCAATAACACCAACCTCCGTTTGCACCGGGCCTGCTGTCATCTCAGCTCATGGAGCTAATGTTCCTAAGCTGTGTGTGTGTGTGTGTGTCACGTTGAGTATGCAGAAATTTATGACCTATTCAAATTCTTATGGTTAAAAGGTAGCTTCTTCTTTTCCTAAAAGCCATCTGAGGTCACTGACCTTGCAGACCAGTGCACGAAGAAAACTGCTGTATTTCATTTTCTAATTAAAATGCAGAAGGGTTTGGTGAAGGGTAATGGATGCACTTCCTTCTGTGGTGTCAGCAGTGTGAAAGGGCAGCTCTGCACGCCACTCACTCCGTCTGTCTTCGTCTCCTCCAACCTATCTCATCATCCTCCGCTACTCGCCCTCTTTATCGGCCCTGTTCTTTCCTCAGAACACCTCCATGACTGATTCAGAGCCTAATGCAATATGGCAAGTGTTTTAATGAGCAGGGACCAATAGGAGTGTCCCAGCGCTGGGCAGTAATCTGGCAAGCACTATCCAAAATAAATAAATAAATAAATAAATCACTAATCAGTTCTGTTGCATTTCCATTGGTATTCTCACCACAGAAGCATTATTGCTCAACTGGTCTGCAGCACCACTTAACCTCCCAGACGCTTAACGCCGTGTAGGGCCAGTGCAGACAGAGGGGACCAGCACTTAATCTCAAATAGCCACAAGTCAGCTCGAACCAGCAAGAGTTTCCTGTCATTAAACGAGACCTTGCTGAACCAAAGGGCGCACCGGTTGACTTTTAAATTGAAGTAGGTTTCTCACACTGACACCCAGGAATGGAGCTTACAGTAGGTTTGTGAATAATTTCATGGCAAAGGTGCACATAGTCTTGTCCAGTCACAGTTCTGTTTGTTGTGCTTCACATGACTTGAGCGTGGATGCACACATATCTTATGCTGAACAGACAGATGCAGCACTCCTTCAGAACTGGATATAAATAGGTCAGTTTTGCGTTGTGACCTGAATTCTACCTCAGAACAACCACTATACAGCAAACAGAATGTGAGGTGCATCAGCATCCACTGTTTTGCATAAAGGTCTTGTGCTCTGAGGGAAAACAAAGAGGCCGATAACAGCACTGACTGCCTTTATCTCACCTCATACACGTTTAACTGACTCTGGCCCCGACACAGCTCTTTGTAGCTTGTGGTGAATTCGCCGATGAAATCGTGGCTGGTAGAAAGAGACAAAAACACTGCATTAACTCTGCAGAATTAATTCAGATACAGTAGGTACATATTGAAGATAAATGTAACTGGAGGAGTTACACCAGAATCACCAATGGCAAAGGTATTACAACAATAAATGTAGCCAATAAAAACAAGTTATATTTAGTAGCAACTAAGTCAAAAGAACTGTTAATGTGTTGGTAGGGTTTTCTACTGAGCGTAAAGATTTTCTACACAAATGCAAAGTGGGATTTGCATTCAATTTGAAGAAAAAACTTAGAAGGCAAGACATGACAAAGGTTTCATAAATTAAATTTTTTTTCAGCTTATGATCATGAATGCACTTTCTGTGTGTGTGTGTGTGTGTGTGTGTGTGTGTGCGCGTCCATTACCTCCCGTCTCTGTCCCAGTCGTACACTTCCACCTTGATCGTCCTGCAAAACACGTCAAAAGAGAGGCAAAAGCATTTGTTTCAGTGAGCACATTTATGCAATGCATGAGCGACAATCGTAATGTCCTTGGGGGGAAATTTCACAAAAAAAGCATTTCAGAAATGACGCAGCACCAAACAAGCTATTAAAGCTCATTAATTGTTCGCGAAGGCTGAATTAAATCAATCAAAGGGAGCCTGCTCTGTGCTTTGCATGCAAAATATGCAAACATCTCTCTGAAGATCTAATAAAGGTGACAAAATTTTGTTCCTTCCTTGCAGCTAGAAAGTGCTGCACACCAGGACTGGTCTGGTTTTAAAATGCATTAGCTAATAACAAATCAATGTCAGTCTCGGTAAAAGCAAACATTTAACCAAGACAAATTCATGGAGCTTATTCCGTTTCTGTCTGTTTCTGTCGTGCATCAAAAATCAAACAAAGAAAAACTAAAAGTTTTTAGAGCAGCTTGATAAACTGGCATCAAGCATTTTAATGAATTGTTTATTATAGAGTTTGTGTATCTCACAGCGAGGTTGATAGCATTGCCAGAGTTTGAGTAAAGCATTTTCTCAGCACATGCCAAAGACAGAAGACTAACCTCTGGGGAAACAGTGTGTTTTGTAGGTTCCCAAAATAAGATGGAAGGTGAAAAACCAAACACGTAAGCCTGAGAGAGTTCTTCGCGAATGAGAAAAGTGCTTCCTCTTTTCTTCTCGATCTGATGGAAATCCTGGTGGCTTTGTCACCCCCCATTCTCCCATCAGCTGCTGTCAATCATGTGTCAGTGGGGCCAAGAGGAAGCAGGTTGATGGAGGGCGTCTCTGTTATCCTGCCCTGAACTCATTCTAGCTGCTCTTAGCGTTATTTTCACACCAAACATGTGCATTTTGTGTCGTGTAGAAAGAGATAAGGAAAGAATGCTGCCATGAATCTGTTCTAAAACAAGCTGTCGTCTCAATCTTAATACTAAAACAGTGACATAGCACAGACAGATGTTCAGAGTCAGGGTGAGAAAACGATCAAATCTTCCTTGTAGTTTTGACTGACAGAAACATTTTTTAAAAACGAGTGTGTTTTGACACTCATGGCCGCTCGCAGCAGGTGATTCCCCAGGGAGGAATTAAAAATCAAAATAAAGCATCAGGGGCAGCACTGCGATGCATCCTTAGTCCTCAGATCGATTTCATTTCAGTTCCTACACCCAGATCATGTCTGAGTGAAGATGGGAGAGATTTTACTTTCTGATCACATTTTAAGCCAGATGATTACAGGAGATTTATTAGATTCACATAAGGCTCGAATACGTGACTACAGAGAGCCAGTGGACACATCATCAATGTTTCTGGCCAAAGACTTGCACAAGAAACGAGGCCAGGGAGGAAATATAAAGTCCAAAACACGAGCCTTTTCTGTGCATTTAAAAGATATCCCTAAATCACTGCACAGATCACGAGTCAAAGCCAGGCTACATGTAATGATCACAGAGCACTTATGTATGAAACAGAATTTAAACTTTGATTCGTAGTAAAGCATCGGATCAAAACAAATGAAAATTGCCGTGGTGCCGCTGTATAGATGTTGGACAAAGAGCGCGTCAGAAAACATCGCAGCACGGCAAGCTGCAGATATTTTACAAGAAAGGTCAGGGGACCTTAAATTGCTTTAGATTTCTGTTGCCATCAAAATCCTCAAAGGGAATCAGGCGTCTTTCATGCTTCTGCTTCATCTGTCTGACCCAATTAGCTTCTCTGGGCAGGTGAGCAGAGACGGGATCGAAGCAGAGAACCTTTGTTGACACCCAGCGTGGTGAGGAGGGCAGTGTTTGACGGCTTCTTTGACAACTTCTGCACACTCACTCGGCTGCCTGCGTCTACACACTTTCATGCTTATGCTCACACACACACACACACGCACACACACACAGAGGCTTCACTGTTGTTCCAGCCACCCGTCAGCATCTACAGAACGACATGTACAGCCACTCTCCCTCCCAGACTCTCTTTCTTTTTCTCTCTTTTTTTGTATTTTCCTGCCGAAACTCTTCTCGCTCCTCAGGTATCCTACAATCAATTGTGTCTAAATTTAATGCATCGATCTATTTTGAAATGAGCACACCAGATATTGAAGCCCTGCGTGGCTTTGATTTCCTCCTGGAAAAATCCAAGTGTGTGTGTGACTTAACCGTGCATCGTCATTTAGCCTACCTCTCATAGTCTCCATTGCAGAGCGCTCTGACGGGGATGGAGAAGGACTGCCACACTGGGTTTAGTGTGCTCTTCACCACCTCAGTCTTGTGACAGATGGTGTACCTGGAGATGCAGGTTAGCAGGGATTTAAAATCCTTGAGTACACACCTGAACGATAAAATCTTCTCGCAGGAGTACACTTTGCTTTGGGACCACGTTTGCTCGAATACATCAGTATGCAGCTGAGTTCAAGAGGTCTCAGTGCATTTCACTCGACCTTGCTTCCCTTCCTCCCACCTCGCTTTGAAAAGCCCAAAACCAGAAGCGAGAGACAAACTCACGTGCCATCCTCATTACTTCTGTAGAAAACCATGAAGGGGTCCGACTTTCCGAAGAAGTCCTTCTTATCCAGTTTGTTGGCACAGAATTGCATGGTGGCATAATCCTACGGACAGAGGAAGAAAACGGGCAGAGAGATGGAAAGACAAAAAAAAAAGAAGTGAAGGACACTGTAGATCCATGCTCCTTCCTCTGTTTGCCTCCTGTTTGTTTATACATGCTGTGTGCCAAGATATAAAAGCACTGAAGCACCAAATAAAAGCAAAGTGCTGACTGAATCCTAATGAGAGGAGAGCGAAACCAACCAGTGGGCTCTAGTTTCCCAAACCTGCAAATGCATTCATTACCATTTTTTTTTTTTTTTGATAGTGGAACTCCTGCATAACAATGCGGATGGGATAGGGGGATATGAAATTGAAAATACCTTGTTGTGCTGAATATAATAATAGTAACAGTATGAGGCAGCATGCATAGACTCAGAAATGGATTCTACAGCCCTGCACATTGGAAAGGAGGGGGAGGGGCTGTGTACAAAAAGGATATTGAGGGTGTGAGTGCAACTAATGATACATTAGAAAGGCTGGTATTATCATAATTATACTCATTTAGGCAGCATTTCAATGTGCACTGCCACATCAAGGACAATGAACATGCCCGATAATGCTCTTTTTTTTTTTTCCCAGATAGTCTCCCTGTGGTCAAGGCATTAGTCTGCACTGTATAATGATGAGCCTGTACAGTGAGCACACTGGACAGGTAAATGTCCACTCTGCAAAATGATCTCCACCAGCAGCAACCTTCATCTCAATGCTGTATGAACGTTTTCATTTTTAGCCCTGAAATACATCACATATGCAATCATCACATAATAAATGTGAAATACCAGAAGATACCCAGAGCCCCCAACCAGCAAAAAGAGGAGCTGTTTTTACCCAGCTGGTGTCCTTGGCTTTTAGGTTTTGAAGCACCGCTATGAGATCTGAATCAGCATGGTGCTGGGCAGGGCCTCTATCGATTGCTTTGACCCACATCAGGGTGGCGCGCCCTGCCTCCACTGACCCGCCTCTCACTAACCTCCCATCACATCGCTTTATGCCTCGGACGCCGACACAGACCCGCCAATATTTTCGAGGCAACTGCTGCTAGAGTGACAGATGCCACTGCACCGACAGCTGCGAGCTCATTTGTTCATTCGTTTAAATCGTACTCTGATTCACGTCAATGTAGTGAAAATGTTCAAACAGAGGAAAAGAGCAAAGCTGATTAAAACAGTCAGTGGTGGCGGCTAATTGGGCCGCTGTGTATCTAGTTTAATTTCTAACTGTCATTTTCAGTTATTATTTGTGTTTGTACCCGCCATGCAATTATATGTAGAGATCATGCTCATACAAAATTGTCTTTTTCTAATTTGAATATTTGGATAAGCCGAGTTATAGAGCAATCAACTGTATATTTTGTGCCTGAAGCGTGCGTGAAGATCTCCCTCGGTGACTTTTCACGCGAGCATCTAATTTTTCGAGGTCCCATTTGGTGGATTAAAAAAACAACAAAAACGACACATCACGTTAGAAGAGTTTGCTTGGTCAGTTTTTCAAGCCCTGAAAAACAGAACTATCCTATAAGTGTCCTGCTTAGGCCTGACACAGTCTCTACAATTACACTATCATGGCAGCACGGTGCCTTAAGCCTTCATTAGGCCCAGATAACACATACCCACTCTGGTGCTGAGCAGTGTTCTCTCATTAAGTGGGGGAAAAAGCAGAACATTCATTTCAGCCACTGCGGTTTAGGAGCAGCAGGGGAATACTGAGTGCAGTCTGCATCCTTCCTCCTATTTCTCTGCTCTATCAAGATATCGCCTCATGGGGTAAGTGGCAGAGCGCTGCACGCTGTCACTTTCAGAGAGAGTGGGACTGGTCTTTCAAAAGGAATACAAAGCAATGCTGACAATACTTGAATTCCCGTTACATAAGCTTACAACATCCTCAGGATCTCAGACTGAATGTCGTGAATCACCAAATGAATCACGAGCCGTGAGAGGATTATATGAACCAGAAATTAACACAACTCCTGTGAATGCTTCGTGCGTCGCTCCATTCATTCTGGCGTTTTTTCGTCCGATTACTACTGGTAGCCTCAGGTTTTTGTCAATGTGAGGATCTGTTTTATGTACGCACAAAACATAAAGAAAATAGAAATTAAAAGGGTTAGGGAAAAAAGCTGAATTCCATCTTGTGGCTGCACTGATCAACTGCAGAGTACTTGCTTGAGGAAAATACATTAAACAATCCAGAATGTCAATAGTAATTAGGGCTTAGTGTGAGTGAATAGTACGGTAGCAAGGCCATGTTGTGCAGACATACATTAGGTTCTGTTTTCAGAGGGTTGCGGGGTAGAGCGTGTGCTGTGCAGATAAACGTAACTGCTTTGATTTGACTTGATCATGTACAGGTCATATAAACTAACTGAACTTGCTCTTAGTAATCCACGAACAGGCAGCGGAGTGTTGTGGGGTTTACTTAGATTTCAATCAGGCAGAGCTGCAGCTGGACCATGAGGAAAATCTGAAATTGAGCCAGTCAGTGCTCAGCAGTCACATGTGCCAGAGATAACGACAGCCAAGAGGAAGCCTTTGATCCATGCAGAGGCTGTTGCTCTGTCTAATGATACCTGGCAAATCCAGCACCAAGGTGAGCGCCAACCCACCTCTCCGTTAACGCTCCCTGCAGAACTTCCCCAGCGGATTCCCACTCTGTTGGTTTCAGTTTCCCCAAACGGGAGTTGTTTATCTCAGCTGCCTCCATTTATTAGTCACAGGTGGACTATAGAATAAACACAGTCCAGATGGATGCAACCAGATTCCATCCTGCTGTAATTCACGGATGCGGGACTCAGCGTCATCCTCTGTAATCTGTCTTTGCTTTCATTTTCTTGTTCTTTACTCAGACCTGAGTTGTTCCCATTCAGGGTTAAATTCTGTATAAACAGGGCAGGTCTGGAGTGACTTGTCAAGTCTTTGTCTCTCTAAGTGAATGTGGTAGAAAGGAAACGGTCATTTGTACCAGTAACGATGATTTGCATTTATATTACTAAATCGCTTTTTGAAGTGGTGCTTTGCGGCGCCGGTGCTGCTCCTATCATCGCACATTCAATGCACCTGATGACTCACAGCAGCCCTTCAATGGCTGTGAGCACTGACACTTCAATCCAGCAGGACAGAATCAGTAACAGTTATCATGGCAGTTTCATTATCAGCACGACTTATCTGTCTCTCTGCAACAGGAGACTCTTTACTTGTCAGGGACCAGACAACGCTGTTAGTAAAAAAAAAATCCTCCTAGCCGGGGACGAGCACTGTTAAACTAGATGCTTTTTACTAAACTGACAGAATGTTAAGAATCATTAGTTGCGTACATGAACGGGTACATCATAAAACATTTACACAGAAGCTCACTGGCTTGCTGTTGAGTCTCTGAGGGAGGCCAGTTGTTCTGGTCAATAAGTCTTGCTACTTTCCTCAGCTCCACTGGCAGCGGTATAATGTGATTATTTACTATCTTCATTTAGCAGTGTGGAGAGAAAGCCAATGGGCATTAGTAGACACAGGTTATTACGCAGACTCATGGATTAACACACCACACATAGAAGCAAATGCCTGTTTTAGTGATTGGAATGAAGGCGGTCTCATTAAATAGCCATTTAAACTCATAGTATATTCACTATGTACACAATTTCCAAATGACAAACGCGGTTGCGCAGTAACGCGGCGTATCCTGCTCGTTTAATGGGGACATTTATGATGCAATATATCTTACTGAAGTCGAGCATATTAAACATCCCACTTCACTTCAGCAGGCCTGTGAACATTGTTAAACATGCGTTACGCACCAATTCCCCACAACACATACGATTTCACAGTGACATGTCGCAATCTATCAATACATTCAATTAAACTCCGATGCACCAGTTATAAAGGGCCCACTTCATGTTAGATTAGCACTGCAAAACATTTAATCCGAAACGCACAGTGTAAACAAATTAAAAAGTTAGAACTTTTTGGACTCACTCTGCAGTTTCCCAGCTCCTCTGCAGATAAGATGATGGTTCCACATTTCTTCCCCGGGATGCCGCTGTGAAAACAAACAGACGTCATTCACAGAAATGTTCACAGGGCTCCTCTTTTTCATTTTTAATTGAAGCGTTTGTGGCTCAGAAATGAGATGCATTATGTTGCATTTTGCACTAAGCACATGTAATCCAATCTGGCTAATAAACAGCTCACTCCTCAGATTAAAATTTGTGTCTGATATTTTCTAGCAGCAGCAGTTTCTGCCAAACCTGGAGAGTCCAGTTATCTTTTGAAAGGCAGATAAAGTGTCTAACTACAGTCGAGGAGCCGGGTTTTTGTTTGATTCCACAGTTCTGAATTGTCACCTCCTGTATGCCAAGAAAAGCCTCTATCTGAGAGCATTTCAGACACAGAAATACTAGTAATTATAAAGACTCAAGTTTGTAAGTCTTTCTTTTACAGTCACACTTTATTTCAGGCTCATTACAGACGTGTGTTATAGCCTCATATAGAATGGCAGTGTTAGTTTACTGTGACAGTTTGACAGCTCTAATGAGCACATTATATCTTTTCTTACCACCTTAAGTGAATCAAAAACAAGTTATAAATACAGCCTCTCGACTTCTTTAGTACAATGTGGAATAAAACTGCTGAGACACAGAACTCCTCTGATCCTTGCTTGCCTGCACCACGTTGAGACTTTAAAGCTCGGCAGGTCTGCAGTTGTTTACCGCTGATTCCTGCTCCAGCAGATGATCAAGACATATCGCAGCACCAGAGAGGTTCCTGGCATGTCTGTGTTCCTGTACATCACCCCTTCAGTAACGTGCCAATCCAATGGCTCTGACAGAAAATAGAGACAGCTTTGCTCCAGCATTTGCCCTAAATGTTATTTGGCTGTATTTTTTATTTTTTTTTAAAGCAGAACAAAATGAGATTTTTTTGTTGATATCCAATCTCTCAGCATCCACTGAAGCTGTGAGAAGAAGGCAGAAGATGCCATATCTGCTTTACAATCAAACAGTGGCACTCCAGCAGCTGACGCTTGTGTCATCTTTCTGGATAAAGAAGGAAATTACATGAGAGTCCTGCTGTGGCCTTAGCTGGGGGCCGATCATTAGAAGGTCAGACCTGCTGCAGATCCTCATCACGCTGCGACAGCTGATCTGACTGTCAGTTGTTCTGGATTCCATACTGCTAACAAGAAGCAGTCTTTGACTACGGCAGCAGAAGCTTGAATTATTTACAAAGACAAATCACAGCCCGGACCTGCAAAGTCTGAACTTTCAGTACTGGGGTTATTCCCCAGAGGAATTGAAAGACAGAGTGTGGGTTCTTCTCTGGAAGTATATGCATTGTTGGTAGGACATATGGAGTGTTTTCAATAACCTCTCTCAGGTTTTCCAGGTCTATGACGCATGCAGCCCTCCACGTGAGCACCACATCAGCTTTAATCGGTTCAAATCCACCGACCAAAACATCCACCTGCTGCATAATGAGGCAAAATGTAAAACGGAGCGATCATACTCTCAGAGGGCAGACCCACTTCATTTTCAACCTCTGTCTTCAAGGTCCGTAGAGATCGGTCTCAAGGTGAATTAACTGCCCTTGAATTATTGATGCTTCGCTCCAAGTCGCCACCAGGCAGTTTGATGACACCTCAAAGAGCCAGTAAAGCCCCTTACCGACGAGGCCAGTAAAGCCTACACACTCCACGGGTCAAATTATCTCCCAGAGGTCGCGTTAATGACTGATGCTCATTTCAAACTGCAAAATGAGATCCAGCTGATTGGTAAAACATCAGCTCCAGACACCTTAAGATGCACCACCCTGCTCTAATCTTCGCTGCAGTAGAAGAGAGAGCAGGTAGCAAAAGGGCAGCAGTCTTTTAAATTAGGCATGCATTATTGAGTGCGGCATTTTCTTCTGACAATGACTAGTTAACATGAAGAGCAGAGCGAGCTGCGGATGGATAAATACAGTTCCTGCCAATTATCCACAGCACATGACTTTCTTTTTATTTCTCTGGCTTTTTGTGCGAGCTCGAAACAGCTTCTGTGCTGAAATGTGACTGCTGGTGATATGAAGTGTCCTGCATCAAGAGGCCTCATTCTCTCAGCACTCATTCACTGACGGTTCCTCAGTGGGAAAACGCTTTGATGATGAAATTATGTGAAATGCGCTGCTGTGGTCCTCCTTCCTGTACTATCTGCAGTGAACAAGGTTTACAGTCGGACCGCTGCGAGGAACTGACTGGATTTAATCAGCTGGTCGTGTAATTGTGTGTTAAATTTGAATATATCATCGACTCCAGTCAAGTCAAACAACGTCGGGGTGTTTTATGACGTTTTACAGTCATGCAGCTGGACTAAATAACACGACAAGGTGACAACTTTAGTGCTTCAGCCTCATTATCATGCATGTACAGTATCTACATATAATACAATGCTGAATATGTGATTCTCACTCTCTTGTGCATTTGCAGTATTTTACTTTCATGTCAGTTTTATGTGCAACATTTCATTTTCATTTCATTTTTCAGGTGTAACAGTTAATTTCATTAATTTCTTTTCATTATTTCATTACCCATATAATTGTAGGCATTACTTTTTTATTGTTCTGTTCTTACCTTATTTTAGCGTACTTATTTTATTTCAGTAATGTATCATCCTGATATCCTACAGCTTTCTACTTTTAAGCATTTCTTATTTTATGTCATTACTTTTTTCTTAGTAATATCTGCCAGAAGAATTTCTTTCCGGATTAATAAGGTTTTATCTTATCTTATTTTGACTTCTTTTTTTTTTGCTATGTGCTGTGATGTTACTATATAGTTGAATTATACCATAAATATCTATCTTATTGTCATATTTTTACCACAACAAAGTGATAATTGGGGCATTTTAACTGGCAAAGTTTGATTACATAGTAGGGATGAACAACAGTGGAGAAGAAAAGCAGCAGTGACATCTAAATTCAGAGTTAAGCGCACAGAGTTGAATAGAGTTTTGATGTGCTGGACTCGTTCGGCAAAGACTGATGACAGCTTGTTATCATCCACGACTTCTGCACTTCCAGTGAATGATTAATGTGATATAATGAAGCCTTCCTGCATCCCAGGAATGCAGGTGACTGCACTAACCACATGCTAAGTAGCTGTGATGCTTAATACAATTCACATTTCATAATTCAAACAGTCACTTACAGGCTTCTCTTGGCACTCAGCAGACATGGTGCCATATGGTCCTGACCGATCCAATGCCAGTCCGTGATGTGTATTGATGCTGCCTGAAACCCTCGGCGGGCCTCATATTTACAGTCAGATTAGCATCATGTCTGCTGTTCCTCCTTTTCAACAGAAACCCAGACGATCAAACAAAACTTCACGAGGACGACAAACAAGTATAGACAGAAGTGAAACAGGGCCTTGTAGCACATTGGCTTCCTTTACCCAGAAAGAGGTGGAGGGAAGGAAGGAGCGCTGTCATGCTCCTAGCTCACACCGAAACACAGAGTTAGCAGCGGCTGTCTTGACAGATCCCCTGTTTGATCAACTGAATGGAAAGAGATCAAGCAGCATATTTCAGCATCACTACAATTACTTGGCCAAAGTTTTTGATACCGCTGTTCTGCAGAATACCAATGAGGATACCAGGTCTCTCTAAATTTGCCAAGGGAGAGTGCATTCGCGCCATTTACTCCTCCCCAAAAAAAAAAAAATCAAGCATCAAGGATTATCGCGCACGACATATCATATTATGGATATTCAGGCTCAATGTATGGCGGCTATAATTTCCCATCTAGAGGCAGTTGCTGTCGTGAAATGATGATTCACAATGCGTGTATTCTCCATTACCTATCAGTGCAGAGGTGGGGTGGATGGAGGTTGGTGAGATTAAAGTCCAAAGAGGGAGAAGGAAGCAATTGTTGATGCTGTTCACATTAGGTCATTAGGATGAGGAATGGTCTTGATATTTAACAACGCTGCAACGTGTCCTGCATATGAGAGTGAGGGAGGGTTATCTGCTCAACAACATGAGTGAGAGCCCACGAAGAAGAAAAGGATCTTTTTTTTTCCCCACACTGCAGTTGTTGCAGGGTGAGGTCTTCATATTTTCCTATGAGGCAGAATGACTGCAGGGTTATCATGCTCAGGTGCGAGTTATTTTGCAATTTTAAGTGAGAGATGAGAAAAAGTAATTGTCCAGGTCAGTGAATCCAGGGATAAATTAACCAATCAAGCCCGTTTGAGCAGAGTCAAAGATCAACAGAGATGGTCGGCAGGCAGATAATCTGGCTTTGTGCCACAGTAAACATTTGGGGCAGTGGGCAGATCAGAGTTGAACAGAATTAGACAAGGTTGCCAAAACTGTATGTGGGTTCAAATGGGATTATGCCACTAATCCCCTTGATCTTCATACACCGATAAGCATCCGTAATCCCTCACCTCACCAGGATTAAAAAAAAAAAAAAAAAGAGGATGAAAAGTGCACCGGCTAATTCAAAAGGACATCAGAATACCTACTGTAGTTCTCAGAGAGTGAAAAGAGAGCAGCTTCCTACTGGTTCTTGCAAGAGGAGCTGGTGTTTAAAGGAGGTAGCTACAGGCAACCTGTGCTAAGCTCTTTGAAGCTTTGTTAGAATGAGCACAAAGCAAGTAAATAGGGCAAAAAAATGTGGTGCAGAAAAATGTCACATAGATATAAATAAATAACAGACACAACCACGAGAAGAGATTGCCTTTGATTTTTTTTAACCAGTGGAACCTAGGTGAGACCACATTACCGCTATCGTGTCATCCTTCATTCTATCATCACTGCAGTCACACTGTGCAACCTTTTGAGCATCAATCACCGGACATCAGATAATGACCACCACCGTAACCTCACTAAATGAACCTAATCTTCTTAGTTCTGTGCTCACTAATTATACACACTAAATATTAAATCCGATTAAATTATTCTCCGTTTTATGAGTAGTGTAGTGATGTAATGAGACCATTGTTGACGTTTTGATTACCATAAATTACAGCACGGGCTTTAATTAGTATAACAATGTTTG